GTCAGTCTGGTTTGGGGTAAAATTTACCCTACAGACAATCTTTTATATAACTTTCTTTTGCAATTAAAAGGAGATCATAATTGGACAACAAAATTTTGTAGTATGTCTCCTATGATTTTATTGAAAAGTATGATCTAAATTCAATACTAGTGTAATAGTAATAATATTTGATTAGTGTGAACATAAGGAAAATTTTATCATCTTCATAATTAATTGCTAAGTTTTAAACTATAAAAAAGTAAATGACATACACAAAATAAAACCAAATTATTGGTCCTTTTTATGCAAGAAGAAAAAGGCAACTGTCATGATTTCATGAGTTTGGCTCTGCTTTTCCATTATTGTCCAACACACCTAAAACTCTGCCAATATTTACTGTACAAGACTTTTTTCATTACTAAAAAAAGGACATCTATTTATGGAGATAGTAGCAGAATTCTCATTGTGACAGTGACAGGAATATTTATATTAATAGTTGTTACTAGGGATTATCTTTCAACAGGAGTCTACATATGCAGGTAGCTGTGTGTATGTGTGAACATGAGTGTGTGAAACTAATGGGGTGAATATTTCTTTTCACCGTTCTATAAAATTCAGTGCAGAAAACTTAAACATTTAAATACGTTTTAGATTTAAAGTTTATGTAGCTCCAGAATGTATTAATGGAAACTGTGCAAAGATACTGTCTCAGAGTTCATTTTTCTCAATGTGTTTACAGAATCTTGAGTGGAATGTCTTTGCTCTCTCTTGTAGATAATCCAACAATCAAAAGATGTTTTCAAGTACAGATTCTGAGTGACAATTGTTTACAGTTAGATAGTATAAATGTATCCTCAATGTAATAAAAACCACTATATGATGCTCCAAATGCTTACCTATCCTATCACAAGTCAGTGCAGGATTTTATTTGAATATGGTATTTAAAAGTAAGAGATATGAATATTCTCCATGAGATCTCACAAAATAAGAAAGGAAACAATCAGAATTGTTCTCTACTATGATTACTCTTTACAGAAGTGGGAAAGTTGCTTCCAGGAGATCTACATTAACAGAGCTTTTCTGGGAATTAGGGCAACATTTGTTTCCCAGCTGTTGGAGTTCCACTGCAGTAGCAGCCAAATGGAATCAGCTGAAAGGCAGTGAGAGGGTCAATAGCTTCTACCGCTGCTGATTTTGCTGCAATAAACTGGAAATCAGCAGTAAAATGGAATAGGGTGTAAAGAAATTCTTAGTGTCAGCTTTTACTTATACATAAGCCATAAAAACTGTACAATCTACTACTTTCTGAAAGCTGCCTTGCTATATCTGAACTTGGTGACTTTTCCATTCAAATCTGAAGACACTGCTGATAGTCAATACCCTTTGAAGTTAATATATCTTTTCTGGTTGATAATAGGGTATTGTCTTCCCTTAAGAGTCTCCTTTCTATGTAGCCATCACAGTGTCCATTGCTTATCCAGGGCCTATGGACTACTCTATTATTCAAGTAGTCAAAGCTGGCTATTAATAAGGATCCATGCAGTATTAGTTGTTAATTATTTTAAATATAATCCACATACACACATTTTTCTTTTATTATTTCTATACAATCTAACATGGTAATGTGAGAAATTTCCACATTATACAACATTGTATTAGAGATGTTATCTTAGTTTTATAAAAGAGTTAATTCTCATCATCAGTTTTGCATCTTCACCATGGGTTAATCAGTCTTGGACTTACTTTTTAAAATACCAAAGATAATGAGTACTGTCCTTTAGTAGATAAATAATGTTCAGGCATCCTCTGGATATGTTATGAATTTCTCAAAAATAAATACATTTTTATCATTAAAACATCTGGCTACTCTGTTTTTTTTTCATTTGATGTGTTTTGAAATCCTGCAAAACAATGTTGGAAAAATGTAACATTTCAGAAGTGCTAGAATCAAATTCAAAGATGAATGTTATTTGAGTAAAAAGTCATACAAGTTGAAAGCTCAAGGGAATGTGGTTAGAATATATTTGGAGATTTAGAAATATGTAAAAGCTATTGGAGATGAAAATGGAAATGGAGCTTTCTTCTTAAAAATATGAATAAAAGTCTAACCTTAATAGCATTGTTAGAATATTGCCAGGAACAACCATTTTAAATTGTGCAATCATCATAAAACCTAATAATATATGGAGAAATTTACAAAATACTCTTGGGACTTTCACCATCTCCTCTCAAAGATTATTTTTGGACTGATTTGTCCCCTGAAATCTCCTTAACTCATTTTCTATGGTTATACATAATAACTTGCTATTTTTTGTTAACAATTAGTTTAGCCAGTCTATTGATTTGTTTTTATTATTCAGTGAGCTGCTCCTGGGTCCAGATGACAGCTAATGAGACAGAGAAGACAACTGTTGGCTTGCTCACATTGCTATTCTATGTTCTCAGCTTGTGTCAAGATCTTGAATGCTTAGGGCCAAGGATTTAGCTCAGTGGTTCTGCCGCCTGCCTCGTAAGCACAAGGACCTGAGTTCAATCCCTGGTACCAAAAAAAAAAAAAAAAAAGATCTTGAATGCCTATCACTCAAGCACTGTTGTGAAGTTAATGGCCTTCTGCTGATTTCTTCTCACTCTGGCCTGGACAGTCATCATAGGTCACTAATTGCTGATTCTGGGGAGGCAAGATGGATGTGATGATACACTAGCTCAGTGTGATGTAATGTAATAAGAATACAAAGCTTGATTGTTTTATTTTTCACCAGTATTTAGGTATGTAACACCTTCCAACCCTGTACTACTGACTTTTCTTGATAGTCTATAAATTTAGGTAAGTAGTAGAAAAAGTCTTCAAATTCAACAAGAATAACATTCATGTAGATGAATAGCAAGAAAGTGATAAAACTGTCTTATTTTCTCAATGTAAAATATTTTATTTAATTTTATATAAAATATGTACTTGGTAGTTTGTTTGCCAAGTCCAAATCTAAACTAGGGTCAGAGCAAAACTAAGAGAGTAGTAGAGGCAGTGGATAACAGTTTAGGGATAACAAATATTAACACAGATGGTTCTGTAGCAGTTTGAAGATAACAATGGAGATCAGAGATGGGCAAAGGAAGCTAAAGAAAACTAAAACAAGACAGCATGACCATTCTGGATATTGCCTCTATAGTCTTAGCGTACATGCTTGGTGATGAAAAATGTAGGTGGGTATAAGCAGTAGAGTAATTGGAATTTCATTGCTGGCAGAATTAGGTAAATTCTACCCACTATAATATTCATTGTATAATATAGCTTTAGGATGGCCCATGGTATCATCCACATTTGCAGTTAAGTCATTAAGTAATTAGGAAAACTCATTCTGCTTCATATACAGTGTTATGTGAGATTCAATTTTGAGACTTTTTTTTTAAAAACCAAATTCTTGTTGCCTGTGTATTTATGAATTCACAGATACTGTTAGACCAAAAGTAAAGTTGTTATAAAGTTTGAAAGAAAGGTGATTTTCTACTCAGAGATCTCAAGAATTACCTTAAGCTTCAGTTGCAGTTCTGGCTAATAAAACAAATTTATTAAAAATATACAATGACTTTCAAGCAATTAGATATCAGGATAAATGGGTAAAATGAGTGTTGTAGCTCACAAAAATTGTGAAGTGCAACTATAAGATAGAAATTATATTTTAATCTTTTCTTCCAAATTTAGAAAATTTTATTTATTTGTTTCATTTTGTTTTGTTTTTATAGATTTTGGCCCCTTGATTGTTTTTAGCCCTTATTTCTAGAGAAATATTATAAAACCACCAATAGCTAAGATTAACTAAATGAATTTGGGTTTAAATTTAATGAAATTCTGAATTAGGGAGGGTTTTAAAACTATAATGTTATTACTTTCAAACTTTAAAAAAGGAGGCAATTTTAGTCTAATAGTGAACTTTTGAGGTAGAATTTAAAAAGTCATTTTTAATGTCTAATGTATGAATAGGTCTTCTAAAGTTGACAAATGATTTGTTCTCGAGTCCGCTAAATATTTTCTGTTTTATCAGTTTTGAGCTAATAATTTTAACTGTCTTCAAAAGACAAGTTTGGCTAAACCTCAGCCTATCCTCATCTCTGTGGATATTATCAGAAAGGGAATATTTAGCTATTGTTGAGATTTTCCTAGCTTCTTTATTTTGTGATGCACTTATTTCAACTGTTCCAAGCTATCACATATTTTTCATCACATTTAAAACTCATTCCTTTGTTTAAGTACTTGATTCTCTAAATTCAAATTTAGAAGTTTTCATTTGAAATTTATGACCTACCTAACATGTTTCTGAAAAATGAGAGAGGATGTTGGCTTAGGGGTTGGGGTTCATACACAACGTGTCCAATAAAAGCAGAATGGCTGAAAGAATTGGTAGCAGGATTTTTTTCAAAGACAGTGCATGCCATGCTCACTAATTTATTCTGCGACTTCTGATATAACACTATTAATTGTTCATTATGATAATTACCTTCATTCTGGACCCTACTAACTTTCAGTTGCAGTGGATTTGCTCTAAGATATACATAATCAAAATAAATATTAACTGTATAAGTTTACCACTTTTACATCTTGAGAACTCCTTAAGTAAAATTCTTGTATTTTCTTTTTCTTGATTTTAATAATTAAATTCCTTTATGAGTTCTTCTTTCATAACTTCGAACTTTTAGCTCACTTTGCTATATATACCTGAAATTCCTTTTGCTATTTTCGCTTGCTACGATAATGGGGTTATGAAAATCTAAACCAAAGGTATTTTTACTCTCTTAACAATCATTTCTTTGAAGTACTATGTTTAAAATTTCATCTATCAAATTTACAAAAGATCAGTTTACTTTTACAAGGTGAGAGTAATGGGCTTTCATATAAAGTTTACTAAGTGTTTCAATCAGAAAAGCATTCTCAGTAGTATGTTTTTCATTAACTTGTTCTTTAATTTTAATTATTAGTGGATTATGAATATAGTTCAGTTAATCAGTATATGGCATCTTTTTTTCAGGCCAAAAGGTGTGTTTTGCTGATGTGAAGCATCCCTGCTACAAAATGGCCTACTTCCATGAATTGTCCAGCCGAGTGAGCTTTCAGGAGGCTCGCCTGGCTTGTGAGAGTGAGGGAGGGGTCCTCCTCAGTCTTGAGAATGAAGCAGAACAGAAGTTAATAGAGAGCATGTTGCAAAACTTGACAAAACCTGGAACAGGAATTTCCGATGGTGATTTCTGGATAGGGCTGTGGAGAAATGGAGATGGCCAAACTTCTGGTGCCTGCCCAGATCTTTACCAGTGGTCTGATGGAAGCAGTTCCCAGTACCGGTGAGTATGGATCTTGTGGCGCCCAGTGGTAAGGGAGGTTCTATGCCCTGGAGAGGACGTCAGAATGGGATAGGCAGAAGCATGCAGAAGGCAATAGTAAATGTCCCCATTGCTCTCTACTTGCAGGAACTGGTATACTGATGAACCTTCCTGTGGAAGTGAAAAGTGTGTTGTGATGTATCATCAACCAACTGCCAATCCAGGCCTTGGGGGTCCCTACCTTTACCAGTGGAATGATGACAGGTGCAACATGAAGCACAATTATGTCTGCAAGTATGAACCAGGTAAGTAATGGAGTCAGCAGGAATGGTGAATTTTTGTAGGTATTTGCTTATATTGTATTTGGCTTTAAGCTTTGTGACTTTTGGCTCTGTTTCTGCAAGGAAATATGGGATCACCTTCCTGCTTATCCTAACATCACTCAATGAACAAAGCTCTTTGTATGCTACAGAGCAAACAGTCCAAGGAGCTGAGGGGTAAATAGAAATATCTGAAGGGGTGTCCTTGAGAGAAATAATCATTTCTAAAATTAAGGCCAAATTGTTTTTGCAATTAGATTTTATGAACAATAAATATCTATTTTAAAATATTTTCAATATGTAATATAATCTGTGGAAAGTAGCTGTATGTCACCAAAGCAACTTTAGACTTACATATGGGAACAACAGTTCCTCAGATACTTTTTGGTAAATTTAAGGATATAAACTAACTTCCTCCTAGCAATTAGCTTAATGTGTTGTAGTACAATACTTGGGACATGGTCCTCCATAAAAGCCCAACTAATAGTAGCTTGTTTTCCCATAGTGGAAAAAAGTAGGGGGCATGTGACATGCACTCTCTCTATGTTTCTCATTCTTTGAAATATGTCTCCCTAGGTAGCTTTTTTTTGAAAACTCTAATTACTTCCTATATGCAGCAAATGGGCAGAGTGCATTGACTTGAGCTATTTTAGTATGGTTTTCTGCTGCAAAGAGTAAATTTGAATTACTTTAAATAGGACACCTCAAATTGATATTTGACTAAAAGAAGGACTAATCAAGACTACAGAAACTCATAATTTTTAAATTATGTGAGAAAGTCAAGTTAGACTTGAATTTTTTTTCTGCCTCCTCCTCGGTGTTTGAAAGTGTCATTTTAACTCTTCTGAAGGGCTCTCTGCTTGCCTTGGTAATATGTGTTCACAGAAGCCAATTATAGTCAAGAACTGCTGTTTCCATTATTCTCTTGAAATTACATGATTCCTTTTCTCATAAGACCGTAAAGCACAGGGATTATTTGGATTAGATTTACCCTTCTCTTGTGTTCATCCTGCTCTTGAGTATATTAGCCAACTTTTTATATCCCTGGTGAGTTTATTCTTTAACCTCCTCGGTTGCTAAATCCATCATTACCCTCCTGGAAACGTTTACAAAGCTAAGTCTCTAATGCACTTATGTTCTTTGTCTTCATTTTTCCCTTGGAAAAATATAAAGTTGAGATTCTCTGATATTTTAAATTTTCTTAAATCTGTTGAAGAAAACAACATATTATAGAGTGTGCCTTTTTAATAATGTAATTAGTTATGCAATAATGGGTTTAATTTTGGAAGATTTGTAAGTGTATATAACATACTTTAGTCATTTCCATCTCTTTTTATTCCTCCTGTCATTCTCTACCTACTCCTTCTGATTCTCTTCCTTTTCTGTTGTATCCTTGATACAGTACTGTCCTACCCTTTCTTTTGAGTTATTGGGTCATCAGTTTGACACTCTATTTTGTTTTTATGTGTACCATACTTCCTTCATTTTTAAGAAACTATCAAACTTACAATCTACTTCTTTACTTATTTTGTGTTAGTGATCTATGTTTGTATTATCTATGTAAGAGGATTTAAAACAAAATTATGCTGTTCTTTATCTTTCCCATTCTCCCCAAATCTTCAAATAATCAATATTTATTAAAATATTTTATATACTCTTCTTATCACGTATACAGTACAGGGTTATAGTTACCTTTATCAACATACCTAGAATTTTCATTATTTATTTTACTTTAACATTTTTATCTTTGTGATCTATTTAATGAATTTTCCTTGAGTATAGCTACATTGGAAAAAATGTTGGAAAATATATTGACTTGATTAAAATCCTCAGTTATGTTTTCAGCACTTGGTATTCAGTGGTATGGGGTTAGAAGAATAAGGAGTGTAGTTAATTAAAATGTATAAATTATAACACTGATTATTTTCTGCTTTATTCTCCAATTTACTAGAACTAGTATGTGATATGAACTTTGTTTCTTCTTTCTGTTCCTATATACCATCTAATAGCATGACTAATATTAACAAATGGGGTAAAAAATTAACCTGGCAATGGCAAAAATAAAATAATTCACTTTAAGTATTTTTTTCTTTTCTCATCCCTTTTTTGTAATTGATCTGTGAATTGCATATCTGTTCTTTGGTCTACCAATGCCACACAAAGACGTTTCATGGGGACACTTTTGAATCTAATTTTTGTATTAAAAATATCTTATGCACGCTTGTTTTAGATATTAAAAATCGCATTTCTAGAACTGTTTTAAAATTTTATTTAATTAGCAATCATTTTGAAGTTTATTGAAATTATTTTTCATAAAAACAGCTTTACATTGATAAGTTGTTTATTTCTATTTTTTTGTTCAATTAACATCAGTTGAGCAATAACAGACAAAGAGTGGCTAAGTTCTGTACAGAAGAATTGTAGACTAGGACTAAATCTTAAATCTAAAGGTGGATATTACAGTGTCAGAGTTAAAGATATGTATAAACATAACAAATGTTACTATAGAATGATGTATTTTTTTAAATTAAATTCTTTTATTGGTACATTGTAGGTATACAACACAATTACATTTCTCATTGGGAATTGTACTTTTACATGATGCATCTTGGTTCTTATTTTTTCCCCATTCCTAGCCCTCCCTTCACACCCTCCACCCTTCCCTATTTACAAAGACTTTATTTCCATTTTTTCCATTCCTCATCATTTTTCCTTTCCCTTTCCTTTCCCCTGCCCTTCCCACTACCCCTACCCCTTTGGACCTTTTCTTCCTATTTTACATTATCGATTATTCATTCTAATCATTGGTACATTTTAGGTATACAATATAATGACATTCATCATTGGAAATTTGCAACTTTACATAGTCTCTCTTGGTTCTTAATTTTCACCCTTGCCCAGCCCTCCCTTCAACCCCTCCATTCCTATTTACAAAGATTTTGTTCCTATTTTTCCATTTTCTCATATTAATCCCATTCCCTTCTATCCTTTCCCCTAGCCCTCCCACTTCCTTCCCCTTTGCCCCTTTTCTTCCTATTTCACATTACCTATGATACATTTAGTCCATATTTACACTTTCAGTTTCTCACACCAGAGAAACTACAGAATGATGTATTATTAATTTTTTAATGACCAGAGACTCTAAGACAATATGAGTAGTAAACATTACTTTTAAAATAATGTTTTATATTGTAAAGACTATATAAGATACCACATGTGATTATTTTCTCCATCAATTGATGGAGAAAAACAAAGAATTACATTTTTGGAGCAAGTGAAAAATTTACAGGTTTTTTCTTACTAATGCAATTTACTTTTACTAAATTATTAAGATAAAAATTATTATTATTATAAGAAAAATATGTGAGGCAAAGTAGTAACAGCTCATGCTAAGAAATTTCAACTTTTTTTTAAGTGTTCCCCATCTTATCACATAAAACCAGAAGAGAAACAACTTATAAAAATGAATTTGTGATTATTGGTTAAAGAAGAAGACATTATGGGGAAGCAGATCTCAAAGTAGCACTGTTTGTGGAGGGGAAAAGTGTACTTTAGAACATTTTGCTTGAATGTTGAAGCATTCCAAATCCAGTCAATCCCACAAGGGTCATCTGCTAATTTTTATGCAATGAGAGACATAAATATTTCATTGTCATTAGTAAGGAAATTATCCTTCCTTGTCTTTGAATTGCATTTAATTTCTCTTTTGTGTTCATGAATTTCTGCTAATCTTTGCTAACTTCCTTCCTACTTTGTCCTTGTTGTCTATAGCAGGCTCTCATTCCCATAGGACCTGCTGTAGATTACTAACTGCAGTTCTGTGTTGCATAGGGAATTTATCAAGTGACTTTTTTATTGAAACATAATTAAACTGACTTTATAGTTAGATAATTTTATATAGATTTAAATTCTTAATATGTTTTAATTGTAAATTGTTCAGAAATCAAAATCAAGATGTTTTTGATGTTTATAGTAAACTTTTATTTTTATGTTTTAAATTTATATTGTTTAATCATTATTTATGATTCCTGGGCCAATTATTACAGAGATTAGTCCAACTGACCCTGTGGAGAAGCCTTATCTAACAAATCAACCAGGAGACACTCATGAAAATGTGGTTGTTACTGAAGCAGGTAATTAGTTCATGCATCTTTAATCTACCAAATACAAAACCATTTTTTTCCAACATGGCTTTACATTGATCTCAGTGAACTTTTTATTTTTGGTTGGGGAAGTGGTGCACAAAGTATGGTCCAATGATGCTGGGCAAGGTGGTGTATGCCTGTAAGGCTGAGGCAGAAGGATCACTATGAGTTGAAAACCAGCCTGGGCTACATAGTGAGTTCAAGGCCAGCCCGAACTACATAGCTAGACCCCCCTTCCCAATAAAGGCCAATGGAAATTTACTTTGGGACTAGGTTAGAAAAAGATTCTATGAGCTTTTTCTTCTTTTGATACTGGGGATAGAACTCGGGACCTTGCACTTGCAAGGCAGGCGTCGGAACCACTGAGCTAAATCCCCAGCCCCTCTATGAGCTTTTTGAATAGAAGAATCAGTTTTGTTTTCTTCAGTTTTTCACTTCCAGTGGGTGTATCTGGTAGTAAACTAAGTGATCTACGTTAAAATCTCGGTTTACAAGGAGATTCCCCAACATGTATGTGTTATGATATAAATTGATATGTTCAGTGGGCTGCAGACAGTTCTGTGCTGGTAAATGCCTAGGAATTGGCTAGAATGGAGGGTGAAAAATAAAAACCTGATTTGTAGGGGTTGGGGATTTAGCTCAGTGGTTCCAGCGCCTGCCTCGCAAGCACAAGGTCCCGAGTTCGATCCCTGGTACCAAAACAAACAAACAAAAAAACCCCCCAAAAACCCAAATCCTAAAACCTGATTTGTAGCCTTTGCCTACTTCCATGACTGAAATATTTCCAGTTGGTCAATTTCAGGTCACCAGGCAAGTTCAGTGCATGCACAGCAGTTTGGAGGATACACACAGTGAGCTCTTGACCCAGCTGCCTCTAGCATACCACGGCTCACAAAGGAAACAAAATGCAGTCCCCAGTGCAAATTTAATGGCAGTCAGAAACTACTCTCAGTGTCAGTTAAGGACTCATTAGAGTGACCCAATGCCAATTGGACAGAAAGCTTTATTTATCCTGTGTGTGTGTGTGTGTGTGTGTGTGTGTGTGATTAAACCTAAGGCCTGAAGTCTCAAAATGTTTCTGCAAGTGATGCAAAATCCATGAAAGAGGGACATAAATTTCTCTTTTGCTTTCTCACTATATAACAGGGATAGCAATTATAATTTTTTTCCTAACCTTAACCCTTACCCTAACCCTAAAACAATGATAATTTGAAAAGGAAATATTTCATGAGTTCTTTAAATGCTTGACAACTTACCTGTTGGAAGCTAAAAGAGAAGGTAAAAGCATTGAAAATTATCCCCAAATTATTCTACAACTAAACTTCATCAATATGTCTTTTGTTAACAAAGGAAATGACATACCACTAAAATAGTAGCTTGATTTATATCTGGCCTACTTTGACCAAAGTTATTTAGATTACTTCTAATGAAGATTTGTGTTTGCAAGCTAAATGCATTGTTTTTCAATTGGCATTCTTTGAGTAGACACAGTAAGACTTAGTGGGTTTCACTTCTCAGGTGCCTGATTTTAAAATCATTTGGAGGGCCAGGGATTTAGCTCAGTGGTTTTGCCACCTGCTGTGCAAGTACAAGGACTCCAGTTCGATCCCCGGTACCAAAAAAAAAATTTGGAAAACTTAGGCTTAATTACAGATATAAGTAAAAAATTACATCAGTAATATTTTTTGTCTTATGATAATGAAAACATGTTTAATTAAGTCATTTCATACTGTACGGAACTTGGATGTTTCAGGTTTTTTCTTAATTTTAATAAGAATGCCTAATATTATCAAGTGTAATAGAACAGGATTAAAAATGATTCTTTTAAGAATTTAATTAAGATCATGTCTTTGTGTGTCTGGACTCTTGTATCTCTGAGTTATGACTGCATCATCAGTTAATATTTACATTTTTTCATTTAATCCCAGAGATTTGAATATCATTGTAACACTGAACTTATTGGTGAGGATAATTATTATCCAGTAATTCAACAATAATTTTAATAGCTTCAAAAACTAGTGCTTATTTCTCTAAGTAACAATTCAGAAGGATTAATAAATGAGGTAGCTAAGATTATTAATATATTAGAAAATTTTAGTCTCTGTCTGAATTGCAGTTAATCATAGTTTTAAAAGTGTATATATTGAATTGGAGCATGACAACTAGTACAGTACAATTTTGTCTTTAATTTTTACCAAAATGTGAACATTCTATTTCATTGGATTTTCAGTACTTGGATTACTTTTGTTTGGAATCTATTTATTGGTAATCATTTTACCTTGATTTTGGGGAAAATTCTTTCATAACTTTGGTGTGAGAATAATCAACTATTTTTTGTACACTAAAATTGTTTTACTTTTATAGGCATACTTCCTAATCTAATTTATGTCATTATACCAACAATACCACTGCTCTTACTGATACTGGTTGCTTTTGGAACCTGCTGTTTCCAGATGATACATAGAAGGTAAATAATTTATTTATATAAAAATAATTGATAAAGTTTAAATAGGCTATCAGAATATTTTAAAAATATTCCTTTAAAGTTAATTACATTTTTACTTTGCCTTTCAAAAGTTCTGATGTTCATATATTCCAGCACAAATCCAATTTTGTGGACACACTTTAAATATAGAAGTCATGCAGAATCTCCTTTAATCCTCTGAAGACTTGTGAAACAGGTGCCTTTTTGTTTCTGTTTTTGGTTGGGAAAATAGTAGCTTAGATGGCTCTGTCTTGGGTCTTGTAGCTAACGTGTGTGATGGATCTGAAATAGGATGCTGGTGAATTTACAACAGATGCTTTACACATACTGTTGCTTATACTGTTTGCTTATAGAATACAAAAATTAACAGTAATCCTTTCAATTTGGACATCAAGCTTCATAGAAAACCTGAATTCTCTAACTTCACTTTGTAGCACTTTTCAGAATTCAAGTCATAGGCTTCTTTTTTATTTTAAAGGGATCTTTATGAATAGGAAATAAAGGATAGTGCTAAAAGTTTGTTCAGTATTTTCAGGTATTTTGAAATTAAATAGATGATAGATAGATAGATAGATAGATAGACTTCAGAGGAATATTCTAACTTTTCTAACTGCTTACCCTTACCCCTTAAATAAGTGTTTTTCATGTATGTCAGTTTTTCAATTAAATTTTAAAATCCAACAAAAAGATGTATCAAAATAAAAAGTAAGAGATCTTGGGTTTAAATAAAAGCATATTTGCTAGAATAAGCTGAAATAAAATGCATCTTTAGAATACGCTAAAATAAAAGACTTCTTTGTCAAAATATTTTAAATAAAAACATTTTTTTAAAAACCCTCTTCCATTATGGAAAGCTCTGCAAATGAATTTATTTTTCTTTTTCAATTTCATCTTCTTTTCCTGAAATAACCCCCCTAAAAAACTCCACAAAAGAACCCAGAATAAATAGGTTTAAGTTCTAAATATTTCACATAAATTTAAAGGAATTTGACTTGCAATTAATTACATGTAAATGTAATTGCAATTAAAACATTGTGAATGATGACAAATAAAATATGGCAAATTAATATTGTACTTTGACTTTCTAATACAAATGTTAAACACAATTCAAAATTATTTTTCATATTTTGTACCAAAATGGGACAATAGTACATATATAGTTTCTTTCTCTAGGTTCCTAAGACTATAGATAAAAAGATGATTTCTCATTGTGAAGAGCAGTGAAGTAGGATTAGACATAAATTCCTTCTTTATCCAGCCTAACCATTAAGGTTACCTGTAAGTAACAAATCAGCTTAAGAAATACTTTGCAAATATGATTTAGACATTCACATTTGTAAAGTAAAATGTGCTAAACTGCCAAGCAACTATATTTTCTGTTTGTTTTTTTCTCAAAATAGTATAATATTGTGACCATTTCATTCATTCAGTCTTTTAGGTTTTCATAGCATGAAGATCTGTGGACTTTTCACTTGTTTGAAATTCTCCAAGTGAGAACACAAACCAAAATGAACCACTTCCAGATGCGAGAATTAGCTATAGTACTTCATTCATTTGTTCTTAGATCCTTCCCTTTTCCTTTCTTCCAGGAAAGCAAGGAGACACTTCATCAAAGACTCAACTCCATTATCATCTGAGTGCCTTGCAGAAAGTTTAAATTCCACTCTGGTACACATGATGTTCTTTCATTCCATGTCATGTTCAAAATAACTCCTGTTCCTTAACTAGTAGTAATTTTGTAATGAAATACTAATTTTACACAAAAGCCACATTAATAACTTAACCAATTTTTTAACATTTAAAAATTTCTTTTGTGCCTTTAATACACTCTAACTTATTTCCCATTCCAATTAGATGGTTTTGTAGAATAAAAAGAAAATCAATAAAATGTACAATTTGAATATATTTTAGTAGTCAAAGAAACAGTTAAATTGAAGTGAATTAAGAAATATATTTTAATAACTTTTTTTGGTATTAAATTCTTTTATTGGTAC